GCCGACCTGAATGGGACCGGACTGATTTCCACTCGCCGGAATGGAAGTAGATCGCACAAATAGTTGGTGCATTGTCCAACGATATAATTGGCGTATGGACCAATTCGCATTAGGGCCAAGCTGGTTTTGCTCGCCCGGTTGAAATGTTGGCGTCGTGACCAACTTAACTGAAACATTGGTGGTTTGCCCAATGTAAGGGCCGAGCTGATGTTGCTCGGCCCGGTTGGCATATTGGTGTCTTGTCCAATATGGAAAACGAGCAGAGTTTGCTCGGCAGAATTCGCAATGTTGGTGTTTTGTCTAACTAATGAGAAGCCGAGCTGACATTGCTCGGCAGAAGTGAAATGTTGGCGATCTACCCAACTAAAAGGGCGAGCTGGTTTTTGCTCGGTCACATTGAAGTACTGGAATTTTATGAAGTTTGCAAACCCAAAAAGGCCGAGCTGATTTTGCTCGGCCCCATACTTGAGCCCTCAATTTAGAGCCGAGCAGATTTTGCTCGGCAAATTAAAAGGTGCATTTGAAATTCCAAAGGAGCCGAACTGCTAGTTGAAGTTTGAACACGTTTATGGGAATTTTGCACGTCGAAGCCAAAAAGCAATAGAAGTTAAACAGGCAAAAAGTTCAAATTTCATTGATTGAGGAAATTGCGTTACAATTGTGGGGCCCTAGCCCGGTTACATTAAACAAAGAAAGACAAGAGACGAAAATAAAGCAGGAAATAGGAGGAGGCATTTCAGTCCAACTCCAGATCAACCGTCTGCTCGGCGACCTCCAGAGTCTGCTTGGCCACCTCCGGACTGTGCTCGGGCAGGCCTTCTTCTAACTTGTCATCCGCGTTCTCCACCGCGACAACCTCCCGATCGGCTACTTGATCTTTAGCATCCTGAGACGCTTCAGGAGAAGTTTGCTCGGTTTGTTACGCGACGGCGGCTTCTTTCGCGGCTTCCTTTTTGGCCTCCTCAATAAGCCTCTTCTGCGTGGCGCTCGCATAGGCCTGCATATAGTGCGGTATGAAAGCCGCAGGCAGATGTAGGAACATGTCAGCATCCTGACCGAGGCCAACTTTCTCCACGGCAGCTTTCCAACCGCACTGGAAAAAGATGTCCTTGGTCGCCTGCCCCTGCCGTTCATACGTTCTTTCGCCTTGAGCATAGCCCTTGTCTTCGGCGTCGCTAACCGCCTTATCTTTCTCCTCTTTATGGGCATCACGCAGCTTCCTCAGCTCGGTGAGATACCGGGCTTTGGTCGACTTCACGGCCCGCTTTTTGTCCGCTTCAGCTCGGTCGACCTTTTGGCTCAGGTTATCCCGTTCGGCCTCAGCTGCTTCCTGCGCGGCCTTAAGCTTCGCTATCTTGGCCTTTTGGGCCTTGTTCTCAGCTATTGCATCCCACAGGCTCTGCCGCACTTTGATCATTCGGTCGTGGGCTAAATAGTTCTTTTGCGCGGCCTGAAAACAAGCGAGAGATCGTGAGTATTCGAGAAACCGAGCAAAAACCGAGCAAACAGTTTGACGCAAAGAATGGAGAACTTACCAGCACTATGGATTTTGCCGCCGAGCGAAGGACCTTGAGGTCGGAAAGCTTGTCGTGTTTTTTCATATCAGCGGGCAAGATCAACCCCTTGGTCAAATTGAAACCAAGCGAGTAGTCCTTGTCCGCATAGACAGAGTCTTCAGTAGAAACTGCTCGGCCTTGGTATTTGAACTCGGGAGCCCAGACCGGGGGGGTGGCTGGGCCCTTGGATTTGCCAGTCTGTGGTTGCTCGGTCTGGTCCCCGAGCTCGGTGGAGACGCGATCGGTAGAGTCTTCATCCGCCGGACGCGGCCCAGTTTGCTCCTTCCTCGGCCGCTTCTTGGACCGACCAGCCGGTTGCTCGTTGGCAAGTGCCAGTACTGCCCCTTCTTGTTGCCCGGCGGGTGTGGAGGATGTCCCCCCGATTTCCTCTGGTTTTTGGGACTCGCCTTCTTCCCCGGTGATCATGGACTTGATGGCCCTGATTTTCGCCATTTCTTGCTCGGCGATGAGTGGAACAAGCCTGATCGGTGGTAGGTTTGGATCTGGTTCTGGGGTTGGCGCACGCAGAAAGTTGGTAACCCGGCTCTTGCGCGGTGCGGTGTAGTGGTAGGTCTGTTCGAAGCCGAGCAGTTTCGAAGCCTCCCTCTCCTCGGCAGGATGGCACAGTAGGGCTCTGATGGCCTCTTGGTTGGCCTGGTAGTAGTCTGCTGCTAGGTGCTTATCTGCAAAAAGAAGACAAGTGTTAGATCGGCATGGAAAGTAATTGATGCATAAAGAAAATAGCGCGGTCAGCCGAGCGACTCACCGGCACTGCCAAAATCCTTTCTAATATACTATCCCGGTATGGGTGCCTCGGTGTCCTCATAGCGACCGGACACCCACAAGAAGTCGTCGTCGTTGGTCTCCTTGTCCGGGTTGCCCTCTATTAGCTTTGCTCGGCCTTTCTTGACTTTGAGGTACCAGTAAAGCCCACTCTTATTTCTACTTAGACTATACTGATGGAAAATTTCGGCCAGACCGAGATTGAGACCGAGCCTCCGGTTCAGCTCGGCGACCCCGTTTATTATTTTGTAAGTGTTATTTGAAACTTGGGTCGGGCAAAGCCTTGTCTGCCTCAAAAATTCGCAAATCAAGGGTTGAACCGGGAAGCGGAGCCCTCCCTCTACTATTGATACGACGGTGAAGGGGCACCGGTCTAGATCCCCCCAAGGGGTGTCTCCCTTTTTGGCGAGCTCTAAGACGACGTCATCTGGGATGTTGTACTCCCTATGAAACTCGGCCATCGCACCGGGCGAGCTCACCATGAATCGGTACTTGCCCATCTATCTCGGTTTTATTTGGTGAACTAACTGGTATCTCGGACGAAAATGTTGGTGTGTTTGCTCGGACTTTGAGCTCCACCAATTATAGTTCTTGACTGAACTGATCGGTCCTAGTTTGTTCTGCATTGTTAAAAAATGAGGCCAAGGGTTAGCGCGCCATAAATTCCACGGCTCCTATTGGAAATAGCTCAGTGAAGGATTTTTGGTGTTTTACCGGCCTGACCCCTATCTCGGCTAGACTACTTGGTCGATTTCCTAGCTCGGTTCATTCCTATTTGCAGTTCTAATGGAGTATTCAGCTCGGTTAGGTTTTGAAGTGGAGACCTCAAGTTATAGCTCGATGCGTTCCTATTTACCAATATAAATAGAGTATTCAGCTCGGTTGCGACCTCAGTAAGAAGCCACAAACTAGTTTTTGATCGGCTATAGCCCTACCTACTGATCTAAATGAGCGTTTAGCTCGGTTCTACCAAGATTCAAACTGTTCATCCCAGAAATGGGGCGAACTCGTTTGAACCAAGGAGGAACAGGGGGCTCGGAGGCCCCTTCCATTCTCAAAGTTCCCATTAGCCCTAGGGTGTGTAGGTTCTAAGCAAAGAAAGGGGGCACTGGTGGTCACAAAAAAAAAAAAACACGAAGTACAGTGGCACGGAAATGAAGAACAGGTATAAATTTTTTTTTGAGAAATAGAAACAGGAAATGCAAGGGAGGGTAGTGTAACTTACCAGGAGGGCAGATGCGAGGGTGAACGCAACCTCGAGAGCTCGATTGCAGCCTTCGAAAGGAACTGAAATGGAGGATGTAGCACAGAGACAGTAATGGCGGTGATTTCGGAGGTTCGAAGGTTTGGGAGGTTCAGGGTCTATTTGGAGGAGAGAATGGACAATGATGGGTTCGAATGACTCTTGGGCTGTACATAAAAAGGGGGGAAAAACCCAAACGGCGCAGCCATTTGAATTCTGCGCGTGCAGAACAGCTGGCTGCATGACCCAATGGCGTGAAGCCACGTGGCACTGGGAATGCGGCTGTTAGTACGGCTGTATGACCTTTGATAAGACTGCGGAGGAAATGGCCGACCAAATGGGACAGCTCGGCGGCAGGTATGCCCTCAATTGTGCTCGGCTTGGTAATGGCGCAACTCATCCGTTAGCTCGGTCACGATGGTAACCCCAATCACGACTAGGTCGGATTGGGCTAAGGGGCAATTGAGAGGGGAGATTTGCGCGTTAGTACGGCCGAGCTACGATAACGCCGATCATGACGAACCGCGTGGCGCCGAGCAGACTCCTCTCTTGCACGGCCCAGCGGCCTGACTTGCACGGCCGGAGAGGTCGACCGACCAGACACGAACTAATGCCTAGCCGAGCTATGACGCGGCCGAGCGCGCAGCGGTGTCTGATGACCAAGCTAAGAGGAGCCCGGACTAGACTTGAGATGCGATTAGCGCCGGCATGCACCTAACCGGTCGGCCGAGATGGACAGGCTTCTTGTGATCAAGAATGAAGAACGGTGGAAGTCCAGCGTGCTTCATGGCCGGTCAGTCGGGTGGGACCGATCATAAATAGCCCGGTCATAAGCATAACACTTTGGCTCCTTTGCTAAGTGGCAAGTCGGCGTTTATTAGTTCGGTTGTGTGCTTGTGGAGAATTGCCTCCACAAGGAACCGGCCGGTCGTGGTACTCCGGTTAAGTGTGTCACCTGGGCCAATGGCGTGAGGGAGAGGACATCTGCTCCACGCACGCACCAATATCGTTTGGCAGTTCTGCATGTGCTGATTGGAGGACAAAATCTTTACACGCGTAAGGTGGTGAGAGGCAAGCATTGCCACCTGTCCAGGGAAGGACGACAAAGGTGGTGCGCGCACGATCTTGGGGCTGCATGGCCAGCCTAGAAACAGTGGAGGAAGGTGAACGTTAGAGGTATGCAACTTCTTCCCCAAAGAGAATACTCTCTCTCTCTAACAGTCTTCTTCTTCCCCAAGTGGACTGACTTGATCGTCGGAGGGTTTATCCGGCACACCACCGCCGGGTAGCTCACCGTTTCTGTGATTGCCAGGTAGACGCCGTCAAGAGAAGCTTGGAGTACAAGGAGTACGGAAAGCAGAGGATATTTCGCCCCCGTACAATTAATTAGCTACTTATGTGTACTAATGATGATGCAGCCAAATTCTTGACGAGGAGAATGATTTTTCTGCTATCTTGATTTGGGAGCTAAGGGATTGTGAATTCTTGAAAGATTTCCTAATTCATTGGTTGCTTAATTGTTGAATGACGCTTGAGTGATGATTAGAGGATCAATCTGCTCCAGTCCTTCATTCTTGATCATCTTGATGGCATTTAAAACTGCTCTAATAGGCAGCACTGCCAGATTTGTAAGTGCCAGATCTGTGAGCAATTTTTCTGCTCTTTTTTTTTTTTTGGTTCTGTTCTGTTTTTTTCCTCTCAGATTTTCCTTATCTTCTGACTTTTTTTATCAATGGCACAGATTGAAAAGCCTTTACAAAGAAACTATTACTCTTTTCTTTTTTTTTTGGATTAAAATTTTAGCTTTTGGTTGACAACCTCATCATGACATTGTTCAAATTGTTTGTTAGGCTCTAATTTATTTAGCCATGAATGATATTTTGTTTCTTTTTTTATTGTTATTTTTATTTCAGTTGATATATTTAGTTTTCTTTTTTTTTTTTCTATTTTCCCAATTATCTCTTTTAGTTGCTGCCTTAAAAGGGATAATAAATTGGATTTGTGTGGTTGACTCCAATGGACAAACATGATAACGGGGGATGAAGAGAATATTTTCTTAAAAATATTTTCTAATGTTTGGAATACTGATTATTCATAGACATGTATCAATTGTATCAGTTAATAATAATGATGCTTTTGGATTGAATAAGAAATAGCTGAAAGTTCAGCCTTTACCTTGGAAGGGATCATTTCTTAAATAGGACATAACTTCTTTGTGTAGTGCCCGTGCTTCTTAGGAGTAGCTGTACTGGTTTAGTGGTTGAGTAATTTTAATTTTGATTTATTCCATCTGATGGTTGTAGGTATGAAAAGCGGTACATGGATGAGGCTAAGAACCCGCCTAACAAGTGATAGATGACAAAATGACGGAAACTTCAACAGTTCAAACAACTTCTAAAACAGAAGCAGGGAATATGAACCTGAAAGTAAAACCTCATCATCTACTGAGCAGGACTTGGATGTATTCTGGGAGATCTTGGTGACAATGATGAGGGCCCAGGTACACCATTAGCCCTTCTTGACTTGTTAGCTTGTGTAGCCATCATCCTTCAACATAAAGATTGCGGTTGACATATCTACTTCTTTTTTTTTTTCTTTTCTTTTTCCATTTTATTACATATTTACTTATTTGCACGCTATCCATTTTTTAGTATCTGGGTCATTTAAAGTCTTGTTATGTTTCTGAGAACACTTGTGTAAATGTTTCGTCTAGATGTGCCACCTTTCACTATGGTGCTGATGAATTACCCTCTGCTTTAACTGAGTCACTATAAAGGTTGCATGTTTAAATAATTCAAGTACATCCGTTAATCCGCTAAGGTAATCCAGTGGTCCATAAACCCAGAGATCTTTAGTTTCACTACAATTGGCAATGCCTTGTCTTACCCGATACCAATGGCTTGCTGGTTGTTGCAGGTATTTGGGGGTTTACCTAGTACGTGTGGGTCCAAAGGGGCCTAGCCTTGGTTCCTCGTCATCGTACAAAATCAAGAGTCTATCTAATCAGTCTTCATACTTTTTAACTGCTGTCAAGGGACCACAAAAAACAAACCTAATCAAAATAATGCAATGATCAACTGTAATGTCATGTAGTCTTAATTCGTGTTCCAATCCAATTAATGACCGTCCTCTCAGTCTGTACTTTTTATTTATGGGTCACCTTCTACTGATTGTGCAAGGTTTGGTGCACGCCATTTGTATGTCACACTTGCAGTTGGGATTTTTGTTTCCTACACATCTACTTGTTTTATTTTCAATGTACTTTAAATGACTAGGCAAGCTACAAATGAACAATTTTCTATTAGCATGTTGATAGTCTTTCTGGTCTTTCAGATGATGGAGACGGGAATTTAGATGATGATTTTGAGAAGATCTAGTTTGGTAAGCACTATCTGTTGTTCTTTTTATCTTTTATTAATGTTGTTACACTCCAATTGGTTGTATCAATATCTTATCATGAACGATATAAAATGGCCCATATGGCAGTCAAATGACTTAATTTTTTTTCATTTATATTTTGACTTGAATATAGGAAATTAGGCTAAGTAGCTATCCAATTGCTATCAGATCGATCAAATTTGAAAATAACCCAATCTAATCTTGTAAGGATGTGATTATGAGCAAATATGTGTTGCCAAACATGGCTGCAGGAACATGTTCATTACTTTCTGTCAAATTCAATGAGTTATTTTTCAACTGAACTCATATATATACAAATATGATCTGAATTTATATCATCTCTGAGTGATGGATTCTGTGTGGTGGCATTGCTATTGACTTCGTACTCACATTTGCTCAAATCTGCAGGAAGATGGAAAGAGAAATGGCCGAAGGTCACCCTAGTGGCTGCACACAATATTCAATGCTAAGATTTCCAAGAGTATAAAGCATTGCCGTCAATGGAGAAGATGATTAACATGGATGACCAGTGATGATCCAACTATCTCCACACTTTCATTTATTTTAATATCCCTCATTTAATAGCCCACCTTACTTTTTTCTTTGGGGGAAATGTGGGTTTGGTGCTGTTAAGTTCAATGACCATCTGTAGTTAGGATTTTAGTTTTTATTATTATTATTATTATTTTATTTTATTTTATTCTGTTTTCTTCTGGTTTTTATTTTTGTTATTTTATCAATACAACAATAATTCATGCTGGGCTTGTCTTTTTAATATATATATATTTTTTTCTAAAGACCTAAATCATGTACATTAAATTTTTTGTCCTTGTTTTTCGAACACAGATGTCCTTTAGCATTAACATATGCTCAAAACTGTAGAGATGTGCTCTTTGTTTTGCAGAAGCAGAGCTATATTTCTTCAGAAAATTGTCATTTTCGTCGAGCAGTTTTGGTTGCTTAAATTTGGAGAGTCCCGGTAACATTTCTGGTAAAGCTATATTATTTCAGAAAACAAACCCTTTTCCTCATATGATTAATGGCTTATTGCTTGATTAGTTTTGGACAAATTAATAGGGTGTATAATACCTTATTATGCAGGGAAGCAATTGGAAAAATTCGTATTAGTCTTTTATATAGAAAAAAAACTCAAAACAATTTTTGTACAAAACTTCTCGTAGAGCTAGGTAATATTTTTTTCTTCTAATTTTTCATTTAATCAGTTATTGTAATTGTGATATCTCTTAGCTTCCAAATGCCCATCCATGTGGCATCTACGGAATAAATGAAAAGCAATGGGATCTGTGAATATTTAACTCCCAGAACCCTTTATATTTTCACAGCACAGAGGTATTCTCTTCTCAATTTCTCTCATTCATTGTATTCTCAAAAGTAGTGTAATTTTTTTTTTTATTGAAGTCATTATCTTTAAATCTATGACTCTATTTTACTTTGCTTTACAAAGTAGTCTCCGCTCTGTTTTAGTTTGAATCTTTGCTTTTTCTATTCTATTAAAACTAAAAAGCTTCTCAACCTTCAAAATCAAGGTCTCTTTAATTTTTATTTATTTATGTTCTTTCTTCTCTAGTTTTGGTTTTTTTGCTGAGGTGTGCTATATTTACATTCCTTTCTTTGTGAAGAAAAAGACATAACATATATGCATTGGTAATTATATTATGTAAAAAATATAGCATTTATGATGTGTATTGAGAATAAGCTATCACCCATTTCATTTTGTCCATTTTGTCTACACATGTCTCTACACATATATATGATCTCTTTGAGAATAAGCTATGATGTGTATTGAGAATAAGCTATCACCCATTTCATTTTGTCCATTTTGTCTACACATGTCTCTACACATATATATGATCTCTTTGAGAATAAGCTATGATGTGTATTGAGAATAAGCTATCACCCATTCTTAATATTCACTTAATATTCTGCACTTGATGAATATTAGGCATGATCATGCTTCTTTGCAGAAAGAATTCTGAATGATTTCTGTGAAATAGTTTTGAAATGGTTCTTTTTCTATGAAATAATTTCTATTGGTTTCTCTTTAATGGGTTTGAGGGGTTTCTAATACATTGAAATAAGATGATGGAAACTCTCTTTTTATCAGATGATGGAAAAATAAATTAGTTTTTCCAATTATGAAATTTTGATACATGATCACAATTGTTTTGTTTGCTCAAATGGCTATTTATCTTAAACAGCTAACTATTTTGCCTTTACAAAACACTGCTATCTCTTATTTAAGTTGATTTTTCTTTTTTCTTTTTTATTTTTTATTTTTAAAAGATGAAATGAAACACTGCTATGACAATTTTTCTTTTTCAATTTAGATACTGCATTAAATTAGGAAATGCTTTAGCTTTTTACAATGGTTTATTTAGCTAACCAAACTTGAATGGCGAAAAAAGATTCATATAGTTGACTCCACTTGATTGGGACACAAGGCTTAGTTTGGTTTGGTTTGTTATAATAGTTTATTTAACTAAATATTGTATAGTGGCATATTGAATTTCAACATTTTTCTACATTGCAAATGTTGTGTAAATTTTCGTCTTGTATGCTCATTTTTTCCCCTGCATGTTGTAGTTAGTTTAGAAGCAATACAAATGGTTAATGTTCAATTATTTGGGACTCGTGGAGCTCACATTTTAGGGATATAGTGATATGGGGATCAGATATGTTAGCAACCAAGCGAGGGAAGTCATGTAGTCGTCTCATTTCTTTTACCGAGCCAATGAACCGTCTTATTTACTTATTTGGTAGGTTATAAATAATAATAAAATAAAAATTGTTTGGCCACTTTATAGAACTCTGTGGCTGGAAGATTTTGTGATTTGGTGGGTCGACATGGGTTCGATAATGAAAAAAATATTTATGTCGCGCCCTGGGGGCTTTGGCTCTACAGTTCAGACTCAAATGTTATGGTTCTAAATCTAATCTTGCAAAGTGCAATGCGAGACCGATAAATCACTAAAGAGTTCAAATCCGGCAACTCAATTGCATGGACCTCTAGGGCATTCCTTTTGTTTAGAGTGTTATGTCAAGTTTGTGCATATTTATATTTATTCTTATCGAAGTTCATTTAGGATTATTTTTGATATGTGGGTTGTTTATATCCCATAAGTTTGGTTGGTTTTTGATTATGGTTGATTTTGCCGTTTATAATTGTGGCATGTCTGGATTGAGTTTTGGTTATTTATTATTGGACTATTGTTCAGTTGTTCAATGTGATTGGATTCGTGTTTAGGCTTACGTGTGCCTTGGGCTAAGTCCCTGTGGGCCACGGCCGGTCATGCCCGGATTTGGGGTGTGACACAAACCCTGTTCCTCATATGATTAATGGCTTATTGCTTGATTATAGGGTGTATAATATCTTACTATGCAGGGAAGCAATTGGAAAAATTCGTATTAGTCTTTTATATAGAAAGAAAACTCAAACAATTTTTGTACAAAACTTCTCGTAGAGCTAGGTATTTTTTTTTTCTTCTAATTTTTCATTTAATCAGTTATTGTAATTGTGATATCTCTTAGCTTCCAAATGCCCATCCATGTGGCATCTACAGAATAAATGAAAAGCAATGGGATCTGTGAATATTTAACTCCCAGAACCCTTTATATTTTCGCAGCACAAAGGTATTCTCTTTTCAATTTCTCTCATTCATTGTATTCCCAAAAGTAGTGTAATTTTTTTTTTTTTTTTTTATAGAAGTCATTATCTTTAAATCTATGACTCTATTTTACTTTGCTCTACAAAGTAGTCTCTGCTCTGTTTTAGTTTGAATCTTTGCTTTTTCTATTCTATTAAAACTAAAAAGCTTCTCAACCTTCAAAATCAAGGTCTCTTTAATTTTTATTTATTTATTTTCTTTCTTCTCTAGGTTTTGGATTTTTTGCTGAGGTGTGCTATATTTACATTCCTTTCTTTGTGAAGAAAAAGACATAACATATATGCATTGGTAATTATATTATGTAAAAAATATAGCATTTATGATGTGTATTGAGAATAAGCTATCACCCATTTCATTTTGTCCATTTTGTCTACACATGTCTCTACACATATATATGATCTCTTTGAGAATAAGCTATGATGTGTATTGAGAATAAGCTATCGCCCATTCTTAATATTCACTTAATATTCTGCACTCGATGAATATTAGGCATGATCATGCTTCTTTGCAGAAAGAATTCCGAATGATTTCTATGAAATAGTTTTGAAATGGTTCTTTTTCTATGAAATGATTTCTATTGGTTTCTCTTTAATGGGTTTGAGCGGTTTCTAATACATTGAAATAAGATGATGGAAACTCTCTTTTTATCAGATGATGGAAAAATAAATTCCAATTATGAAATTTTGATACATGATCACAAATGTTTTGTTTGCTCGAATGGCTATTTATCTTAAACAGCTAACTATTTTGTCTTTACACAACACTGCTATCTCTTATTTCAGTCGATTTTTCTTTTTTCTTTTTTTTTTTTTTTTTTTTAAAGATGAAATGAAACACTGCTATGACAATTTTTCTTTTTCAATTTAGATACTGCATTAAATTAGGAAATGCTTTAGCTTTTTACAATGGTTTATTTAGCTAACCAAACTTGAATGGCGAAAAAAGATTCATATAGTTGACTCCACTTGATTGGGACACAAGGCTTAGTTTGGTTTGGTTTGTTATAATAGTTTATTCAACTAAATATTGTCTAGTGGCATACTGAATTTCAACATTTTTTTTCATTGCAAATGTTGTGTAAATTTTCGTCTTGTATGCTCATTTTTTCCCCTGCATGTTGTAGTTAGTTTAGAAGCAATACAAATGGTTAATGTTCAATTATTTGGGACTCGTGGAGCTCACATTTTAGGGATATAGTGATATGGGGATCAGATATGTTAGCAACCAAGCGAGGGAAGTCATGTAGTCGTCTCATTTCTTTTACCGAGCCAATGAACTGTCTTGACTTTGATACAGTAGCAGGTTTATTTACTTATTTGGTAGGTTATAAATAATAATAATAAAAAAATTGTTTGGCCACTTTATAGAACTCTCTGGCTGGAAGATTTTGTGATTTGGTGGGTCGACATGGGTTCGATAATGAAAAAAATATTTATGTCTATTATATTGGTTTGGCATAAACTAAATAATACAAAAAGTCAAAAAGTCACTATCATATTTAAGTCACATCATCTTATTTAAATCACATCACCTCTCTAACACATCACATCAAACCCAACCCAAACCCAACCCATATAAGCCAATAAGTAAAAAAATACACTTTTTTAGAACATCCCAAACCGACATATGTTGTTACGTTCTTGAGCATACTGCTTTGATGTTATAATTAGGTTTTAGTGGTTATCTTTTTCTTTTTTCTGTTTTCCTTTTCAGTACATGTGTTTAAGAACTAAGAAGTAAACTATTGCAATGGCCACTTGTCATTCTGTTTGCAAGATGGCATATTTCATTCTGGCATTATCTTTTTGCTGCTAAAAGATTTTCCTGAATGCTACTATCTTGACAAAGTGGCTATAATGTGTTCGTTTGGTTTTGTGATCCGTCAGATCTTCTGTCAGCTTGTATGTGTTACACTTTTATTTTCTTTTTCCATTTTTTTTTTTTTTTGTGTGCTTATGGATGTTTTGGTAATGTCTTCAATTTACCAATTATGTTGGATGAAAATCTCCTGCATGGTTTTTTAACATGATCCATAGCGTTTGACATAGTTGTAGAGGGAAAATTCATTTTTGTGCCATTACTTTTTTTATTTGCAGCTTCATTTCAGAATACACAAGGAACTCAGGATGGGGCTGATCCAAATAATACAACTGTGCGTACTTTTTTTTCTTTCTTTTAATCTCTCAATTTTTCTTTCTTTTGGGGAGGAGGCTGATATGCTTGTGGACAACAATTTGCATGGCCAGATATTTGTTGGTGGTGTGAATGAAAGTGTTTCAAATGACCAACTCAGGCAAGTTTTCAGACCATATGGGCAATTAGTTCCTGGCCGGATATTTTATTTAATCCAGGCTGCCTATAACGTTGGAGGTCATGAAGTAAGTGCAGTTACAATACATAATTCTATCCTTGGATGCCCGCATGTCTCATCCTGGACAGGTATATCCCTTGCTATGGGTTTTGTTTTGAAGCTTTTTTCCTTTCTTAAAGTCCTTGGTGTTCATTTTGTTATAGTCTTTGAAGCTAAGCTTTTACTTCTCATATCTTTTATATATGAAAAGTAAAAGCTTTTACTACATCAGATCAAGAGTGTTATACGATATTAAGATTCCTATTAGATTGAAGGGACAATTTTATGGGTTTGTTACTAGGCTTGTTATGATGTATATTGTATTGAATATTGGTAGTCAAGAAATAACATGTTTAGTAAATGAAACAAGCTGAAATGAGAATATTTGGATGGATGAATGGTGTGACAAGAAATGATTTCTCAAGAAATATTTTTATCCCTGAGTCGTTAGTTTTTGTACTTATGTGAAATTTCCTTTGTCATGCAGACAAGAAATGCAACAGGGTTAGTTGCTCCAGCTATTGCTGCAGGTTTAGGAGCCTTAACACATACATTGAGCACCCTCATCCCTGTGATAGGAGCAAATTGGGCACTCTCGTCCCTGTGATAGGAGCAAATGGATTTGCTACAGTTGCAGCGGCAACTGCTGTAGGAACTGTTGTTGGTAGTTTTAGATAATCTCTTAATATAATAGTTGTCGATATGTTTAGAAAGTTATATATGTATAGTTTTAGATGGTTTAAACTTTTTATACAGTTTAGAATTTAAGGATATAGTTTTCAAATGTTTGGAATGTATAGACAATTGTTGGATGTTTATAATTTATAGATATAGTTTCTTTTTGATGTTTCAAATAATATTTTGGTGGTTGATTGATGTTTTGTGAATGCTTGCTTGTAATATTTGTTAAATTGTACAAAATTGGTCAAATAGAACCTGTTGAATTAAAAATTAAAAAAAAAATTGCATATTCTATGGCAGATATAATAAGTCGTTATATTACATATTTTACGACGCGCAATCAACGTCGTTATTTGTCTCACCAATTAACGGCGTGCAAAAGTAGTCGTAAAAAAAGTAATAATGACAGAGGTTGTGGCCCAGCAGGCAGATCAAATTGCCAGGCTTCAACAACAGCAGCAACTACAACAAGCCGGAGCATCTGCTTCGCATCCACCCCCACCCCCACCCCCACCTAGCTAGAGTTCCAACACTCGGGGATACAGTTACCGTCAAGGAGAATACGGATGTTCCAACAGGGGCCGTCCCACCACCAATCCTACCACAAACTTCAAAAGCACTGGCCAACCCAACAGACACGCTGTTCGAATTTGAATCTGATCCTACTGCTTTGAAAGTAAGCAAGCTTGAAAAGCTGTTCAAGTGAGCTCAGGGAGTTAACTCGATCCCAGACATAAAGGATGGATATACTAATTCAGTGGTGACATTGCCGGACAGGTTCAAGATGCCTCACATAGATCGCTTTAACGGCTCAGGCGATCTTATGGTTCATTTGAGGTTGTTTTCTGACATTCTATGCCTGATGGGCTTGACTAGACTCCAAAAACTATCTCTTTTTGGTCGGACCCTGTCGGGTATTGCGGCCATCTGGTATGCCAAGCTGGAGGACTCAATGAAAAGAAGCTTGGAGAAGATGGCTGAGGCCTTCATCGCCCAATATGCTTACAATACCCAAATCGAGGTCACAACCCGTGATCTTGAGGCGACCAAGCAAGAGCCGAAAAAAGGCTTTTCTGACTTTGTTACTCGATGGAGGGCCAAGGCCTCCATGATGATAACTCGACCAACCGAAAAGGATCAAATAAGGATGGTTGTGCGCAACCTGCAACCTAAGCTGATGTATAAAATGATCATCTTACCCCTCCCCACCTTTGCTGATTTGCATGAGATTGGGGTACAGATTGAAGACGCTATGAGGCAAGGTCTGATCGACCAGGAGAAAGAG